CTTCTTTTCCTTTTCAACAGTTCAGGTCTCATTTGTTTTTCTTATTTAAATTTGGGCTTTGTGGATTATCGCATAGGGATTCTTCCTCTGTAACAATCCAGTTTTCATTTCTATCAAATTGGGGCACGATCTTTGTGGATTCTTGTATCAGGGATTCTGATTATGACGAATTTTAGGAAAAGACATCTCAGTAGCGACGATGAAAACTGTGAACCAGAGGTTGAAGAAGAAAGGAGGTAACCTTCCTCCATACCCTAATTTAGGGTTTCTTTCGTATTCTTTGATTTTTAAAGCTACAGAGAAACCCCTATTTTATTCAAATGATATTAATTTTACAATCATCTGGATTTATCTGAATTTAATGTGTTAAATTTTTTTTAGAGCAATCACAGTGTTTTCATTTGATATAGTTCGTTCTAAATTAGGGTTTTATCCGCATTTCAATTTGTAGGGTTTTGGAATTCTATAACATGATAATTTTGAGGGTAATCTAGGGTTCCTTTTTAGCGGCTGCCTTCCAAATGTAGAGTTCCTCTTTCTGAATGGAGTTGTTTGCCTTTTAGAGTCTTGAGAAACTAGGGTTCTTTTGTTTTTCATTATCTGTGTATTGTATGTTAGGTTGTCATTAGAAGAAGTGAAGTTTCTTCAAAAGCAGTGGGAGAGGAAATCTGGTAGCCCTGTGATTCTTAATTCATAAACAATTGGTGTGGTTTCAAAGCTAGTGGGAGGAGTTGGTTTTGCAAGAAACTTTTGTTTAAGGGACTACTCTAACAATTGAGGGCCCCAACATGTATGAATTTGAAGTCCATCATTTGTTTGCTCCTGCATTTGTCTCTAATGGTATGACTTTTTCCCTTTTATTGACTGCTTGATGTCTTGAATTTTGGGTACTCATTTTTTTTATTATCGTTTAAAGTTACTGTAATTGAAATGATCACGAGCCATTGATAGATTCATCAGTTAATTGTGGTACTTGTGTTTTAGTTTTTGATTGTTCGATTGTTACGCTGCTTACTAATTTTGATTCACTTCATTGGTTTTTGGTATTGCTGATATTATTCTTGTTTTCTTCGATTAATTAATTTTTATATTATTGTGCGTTTGTTGATCTCTAGCCTCATAATATCAGTGATTGATTATATAATTGTGTGTTTATTGATTTTTAGCCCTCTAGTATCAATTCTTGTGATGCTAACTGCACATGATGATTTCTATCCCTATCTCATAAACTAATCAAGGGGGTGGTAAAAGGAGTGCCATTGTTGAATTTAGTTTTATGTGAAGAATGTTATTTGCATGTTTGGTTCATTTAGATGTTAGTCAGTGTTTCATGAAACTTAGTATTTGACCTTTGTTGTGACATGAACCAGCACAAGCACCGTTCAATAGCTTCCAATTCTGACTTCCATATGTAGATGAACTAATGACGCATGTTGGAATTTTTTTGCCACTTTGTTCCAAAGAGTTTCTTAGAAGCAGTGTTGGAACATTGAGGTAGGTCTTGCCTGAGACACTCAGGCTTGGGACATAATGAGCCGAACCATGCACATGGGAAACAGCCGAGCTTGGCCAGCTCCAAGTATTTTGTTATTATTGATCGGCCGAGTCTTTGAGAGGCTCGGCTGTGTCTGTCAGACATGGGTTGGAGGGACCCTTCTGAGTTCATGACCATAGTCCATGTTTTTCTACTGCTCAGAAGTGTTGTTCCTCTACTGTATACCTTTTTTTCTCAGAAAATTGTGACATATATGTAGATCGACTATGATAAGCATAAGTTATTGAAGGGGGCATATTTGCATGACCCCAATAATCACAATTGTCTGCTGAACCCAGTTTTCCCTCATGTATCGATTATGTTCTTTTTCATACATTTATTGATAAGGGTATTTTGGTTGTTTGTATATTTGTGACTATCTCAGTGGGAATTTTCCACATTGTCGATTGATGATAGCATTATCCTATGCATCATATTTAGTGTCATGTATATCATCAATCTTAGCACATGCATGTGCTACCTTGGTTTTATCAAATATTCTTATTGGATCGCCAAGGAATGGTTTTCCATCATATCATGTGATTTTTGGAACTCATGGTCTCTTTGATGAATTTATTAGCAGGCTGGTATGCTGAGTAGGGGTTGGCAAAGAAGCGTGGAAAGGATATCGAAACACTGAATCAAGCTGAGAATGAAACCAAATGTGCAGAGGATGAATTGTACATCATTCCTTAGCATCTTAAGGTTGGACATATGACACTGTAGTGGATCATGGTTGTTATCAATGCTTAATTCTATAAGAATTGTTATATATTTATATTTGCAAAGCCTCTCTCTCTCTCTCTCTCTCTCTTGGATTTAAACTTTCTTTTTGGTACTGATGCTATTGTTATCAGAAAAGTATACAATAAGGCTGTTTATCTTTAAGGAGGTCAAAATCACTTTTTAGCCATTGGATTTGAAATCAGACTGTTGGGGTGTGCTATTGACTGCACTCAGAGTTCGTGAAACATTTTATTGAACTTTGTGAAACACCCTTGGCTGTCTGATGTCATGAGTGATGTTACGTTCTTGTATCAAAGGTAAATGGTCTCATATTGTGCAATTCCTTATTAGTCAGTTCTTCATTTTCATTATTTAATCAGTTGGGCTACGGAAACATGGTAGTCATCTATTATGTAATATGGATCTGTTCATGTCACTTAATGGTGTACACTTCCTTTTTTGTCAAATTACAAGGAGAAACATGCGTCATCGTGGTGTGTTCATGTTTTTTTTATTTTTTATTTCCTTTTCTCAATACTTATTTCTGATGTTGTATGTGGCCAATGTTTGCAAATGACATGGATAATATTGTTAATCTTTTCCCCTCTCTGGACATTTGAAGAAAAAAAATAGAATAACTATTCCTATGAATGCGCTTAACATGTTTAAAATTTGGAGATGTATCTAGTGATTGGAAGTTCGCCTGTATGCATAAATCCATCTTTTCTATTTGATACTTGGTTCTCCTCCAGGACATACACAACTAGAAGTTCTTATTTGTACAAACTTCTAAATCAATCATTCATGTTCTAAAATATGATTTTTGGAATTGCCGTTCATGTTCTAAAATATTGGTTGAGTAATTTTCCATATTTTATTTTATGAATGTATTGACTCATAGATATTGCAATTTTAACGTTCAATTTAGGTGAAGAGGCAGAATTCAGAAGAAAGCTCAACTCAATGGACTACTGGAATCGCTGAAGTGCGGTTACCTATTAAGTATGCAATTATTTCTTGTCATATCTACCATTGTGCATGTTAAGTTCATGATAATGCTAACATTGAAGTTCAGATATTTGGATGGAGGTCCAAGGAATAAATGATGATCAGAATCAATTTCAGGCTTTTAAATAGAGTGCCCTTTCATGAGGAACTGGATGTTAGAATTCAAAAAACTAGATCGAAAGAAAGTTACAGAAGGAAATATATATATTTTCAGTAGTGGCTGATGTACCTGCTACAGTGCTATATGAAATAAAACGTAGCAAGAGAGGAGAAAGAGACACCTAATATGGAGAGGCAGGGCCTGAACTTTTGGAAGTGGTTACTGTATTAATCAGTTCTACTATAGGCTGTAACTAACATGTGAACACAGAAATACATTTATTGTTATCTACATCATCGCATTACGTCAGGGAAAAAAAAGAGCAGACGGGGAGGTTGGAACTTTAACAGAGGTCCGTTTATGGATGAAGCAGCTGTTGTTTTTCTTATTTCTTTGAAGTTCAGGGTGTTTTTTTAAGTGATTACAAATAATAACAAGCATACTATTCCTGGTAATAATGCATTTCCAGGAACCGTTGAACTTTTCTTAATTACACTTGAGTTCCTAGATCCTTCTTAATTAAAATGCATTGCGCACGACTTGGGTTTTTCTTAATCATAGAAGAGAAGAAATCTTGATTTCAATTGTCTCGTTGTTGTGACTTTTATAGGTGCAAGTTAAGAAATATTGAGGAAACTGAGGCTGCCAGAACCTGTTACAGGATAAACAACTTGTAGGGCGGGCAATGAGCATCCCTTCTAGTTACAGTGCTTACTACATTCAGCGTGGAAGAGCTTATGCTGAGAAACTCCACTGAGGTATTTGTGAATGTGACTCTTTTTTCTCTTATTTCTTTTTTGGTTTATTTGTTTTCCACTTTGTTTTTTTGTTCTCCTCTTCCTGCAGGCCATGTCTTGCAGGAAAACCTTACAATATTTTGATTTATTGAAATCTTGGAATTGCTTTCTTGTTATATAGCTCATCCAGAATATTGTATGATTTATTATGATTCAGAAATCTAATATTGAGCCAACTACCTTTCAATTTCTACAACTTAGTGCCCAACTTATTGCCACAATCAAAGAAATAATTGTGAAATTGTGAGTATGATTGCTGATCCTTGCAGTAGTTATAACTTTAACCGAAATAAATAAATAAAATAGTACACTGATTTGTTGTTTTATCAGGACGCATTTGTTTGAGGTTGGGTTATTTAACATACCTCAGGAAAAATTTGGATGGGTCATTTGGGCTGATTCTTGTTACTTCTCATGAAACAACGAAAATTCTTATCTGACTTCACTGTTTGAATTTCTTGGCAAATCCCTCAACAATAGTTATCTTATTGAATAGATTTTAATATATTTTGCTGAATGATAGTATTCCATGTTCTTTGAGGTGCTTAGCAATGGGGTATGCAGTTATCATTCCTGAAGTCTCTCTCTCTCTCTCTCTCTCTCTCTACTGCAGAAAAAATAAAAGGAAAGGAAAATCTCTCTCTTTATATCACTTTATAGCTGTTAATTTTTTGGGGTGTTTTTAGTCTTTTTACGTGCAATTTTCCCTGTAAATTATTATTCTACGTGATTTTATACGTATCTTAGAAACTATCTCATGAGTTACAGAGCATCCAGAGTTCAAAAGATAAAAAGTGCATGTGATAGCAATAATGGATCAAAAGCAACAGGGGGGGGGGGGGGAGAGGGAGGGAGGAGGCAAATTGCAACGGATGAATTCATGCTTGAAGGATTTTGAAAGCGCGAGAGTAACTGAGTTATGCATAGATAAGATGAAGAAGATATTGCAAAATGCATTTCTTGTGATTTACTGATTAAACAGAATCCCACATTTCCTTTTCTCAAATTTTTTTGGAATTTTCTCCTTAATTTTGTATGGGAAAGGAAACCATATTCCTGTTGAGCAAGGTCTGCAGTGCTCCATAGACCATCAAATATATGTTCTTCATGATGAGCTTTGGAGATTAAGCGTAGCCCACCACACTTAATCTTCACTGTCCATCAATAGGGTTGGATGGTAGATCCTCCTATGGAGCATGTATTATAAATTCCATTGGATTGCAGTTAGTTTTTCCCATTCCCTGCTACTGTGGTTAATTATCCATTTTTTATTTTTTTCAATTTTCATTGAAATTTTGTAGTTGTTCACAGGAGAAGATTTTAAGAAACAAAACATGGTACGAGGCCAATTTGCCAAATCAGGTCTATAGGAGGTGTATCGTGTCGACAATTCAGATTTAGAAGTCAACCTATTGACTGCCAAAAAATGTTCTGGGATCCCCTCCTTAGCTTGGGCATCTGCCTCAAAGCTAGGTTTTTTTGTATGTACGCGTAAACTCGATGTCTTTTAGGCCATTAGTTTCATAAAAAACAAGGATCAGGTGTCTCTGCTCACCTGTGCACCGTCTAGTTACATTGAGCTTTTCACACTAGTAAACATAGTGTTTTATTCCTTAAAACATTGGCATAGTGTTAAAGGTGCTGCTCTCTAGGTTAAAGACTCTCGCCTTTCTCTCTCTCATACTACAATCGGCATATGTTCTGATGGGAGTTACAATATGCAACCACTTGATAACAACCCCCCATTCTTCTCACTTCACAAATATTCATATTCTTGCTATCTTTGCAGTATTCCTGTCTCTCCATCATGCACGTGTACACAATCAAATAGCGCAAAACAAGTCAAGGTTATGCATAAAATAAAAGAAAAAGTAGATTCCGGTGCTCAAAGGAACCAATAAGGAGTTAAAAGGGTTACTTCTAACTTCAACCATGAATTTTTATTTTTTTTTGGGGTGGCTGGGCCCCCTAACCAAGGAAAAAGTTCAATTCTCTACAATAACAATGACATGGAATAAATTTGAGAAACATTCAGCATTCCACTCTTCCTCTATAAAAAGAAGTTCCAGCATCTTCCAATCCTTTTCTCTCTCTTGAGTGTTCTTAGAACTATTCTTCTTTATGGCATCTTTATCTCTTGCAAAGCATTGCAATTTGCAAGTAATGTGCCATAGCTTTTGTACCTTCTTTCCCACAAACAACATAGGGCCAATAATACACAACCCCAACAAAGAGTTTAAGCTGCTTACAACGAAAGGCAAAATAACCTTTTGCACCCTCCTTTCCTCTGTCATAAAACCCTCATCTCTCTTCCTCTTTCTACATAGAAATTCAGCCATGAAGATTCCAAATCTTGCCATGGCCTATGAAGCCATGAAAACCCATTTGAGAACCATCACTAAATTTCATTTGAAGCTCTCTTATGCCATAGCTCCCTTCATACTTCTTTACACTCTCTCTCATCCTCAAGTTCAAAGCCTTCTCATCTACTTCTCCCCTCTAGTGTTATCAACAGGGCTTTGTTTCATCATTGCCTTCTTTCAATTGTGGTTGCATCAAGCTCAAGTAGAGAGAGAAACTCTCAACAAGCCAAATTGTGGAGAGAGAGAACCACCAAGTGAGGCAGACAGTGTATGGCAGCACTATTTTGATGGGTGCACCAACTGGCACCACACCATGGTTGTGAATGAAGAAATCGCTCAATGAGGTAATCTTTGCTTTAGCACTGCCGTAGCTCAAGTTTTATAAGGTGCACTTTGTAATTCTTGTATGTTTGGGAAACTGCGAAAGTGATTATTTTGGGGTTTCTTGTTTCAAGAATTCAGTGATGCTGTACTTTTGAGGCAAATCTCTCTCTCTCTCTCTCTCTCTCTCTCTCTCTTTCTTGTGTGATTTGGATTCTAGTTTCTTGTTCAAATTTAACTTTGCTTTCCCAAAAAAGAAATTGTCATGGGTCTTTAGTAAAACTTGGGAAAAATGTTCTCCTTATTTTTCACTTTAAACTATGATGGATTAGGTAGTTTAATTTCTAAACATGCATCAAGTTAAAGGGGATGGCTTGAATTTGAACTTGATTTTAAGTAAAAATAAAACAATTGTAGGTTTTGGGACCCTGCTAAACATTTAAGAAAAAGAGATTTTCCTCTTTTAAACAAATTCTAGTTAGGTTGACTTGTTTTTAAAACAGGGATTGTAAGTTCACCCTTTAAAATTTTGGGAAGCATGGATTATACTTTTAATGGTAAAAACAGTTTAAAAAAGGATTGTAAGTTCACCCTTTAAAATTTTGGGAAGCATGGATTATACTTTTAATAGTAAAAATAGTTTTAAAAAAAAAGATTTTAAGTTCAACCTTTAAAATTTTGGGAAGCATGGATTATACTTTTAATAGTAACAATAGTTTTAAAAAAAAAGATTTTAAGTTCAACCTTTAAAATTTTGGGAAGCATAGGTTATACTTTTAACGTTATGCTTTTAACGGATGGTAAAAATAGTTCAAAAAAAAAACAGGATTTTAAGTTCACCCGTTAAATTTTTTGAAAGCATGGGTTATACTTTTAATGGTAAAAATATTCAAATAAATAAATAAATAAATAAAAATCAAAATGATTTTAAGTTCACCCTTTAAAATTTTGGGAAGCATGGATTATAATTTTAACGGATGGTAAAAATAGTCAAAAAAAAAAAGAAAAAGAAAAAAAAGAAGCATGGGCTATACTTTTAATGGATGGTAAAAATAGTAAAAAAAAAAAAAGGTCAAAAAAAGAAAAAAGAAAAAGACGCATGGATTATATACTTTTAACGTATGGTAAAAATAGTAAAAAAAAAAAGAAAAAAGAAAGAGGAAAGAAATTTTAGAAATGCATGGACCAAAAAAACACTTGCGGTGAGCGTGGATCGAACACGCGACCTTCAGATCTTCAGTCTGACGCTCTCCCAACTGAGCTATCCCGGCAATGACATGTGTGTTCCCATATTAATAATTAATTGTTGTATGAACCAAAATGTACTCTTATTCCTATGATAGAATCTACTTTTAGGAATCCATTTGGGTCCTATTTTTTGGGGATGAGTCCGAAAGGATATGGAGAGTTTGTGGCTACTCGTTTTTTAGTATTCTCTTGAAGATGGGCTAGTGGCTTTTGGATGAGTTAGGTCTTTTTGGGTAAGTGATTTCATGTAACCTTATCATTGTAATATAATAAAGGAAAAAGTTTATATAAAGTTGCAATTTTAAAATGTAGAATTAAAGATGCACATCAAAAATCTGTAGGAAAAGATCGTTTTAATGTTGAAAAAGCCTCGAATTGATCATTTCGACATCGAGATGTATGAACCTAAAAAAACAAAAAATAATTTGAGTTCCAGAAATAGTGCATATTGCAACGTATTATTTTGGACCGTCCATTTTCAATATTTTCATATGCTTATAGATCTACTTGATTTTAACTATTTTTTAAATTAAAATTTTATAACAAGATATGAAAATAGATTTTCAGATAATCTTGATAATTTTTTATACTAAAATTACATGTTATTATAAAATTTGGAGGTGCACCTTAATTGGATTGGTTAAGGCTGCGACCTTACAGAAACCACACCCTATAATAAAACTACACTTCTAGAAAATTATTTTTATGGCATTTGTATGATCCCAAATCTTACATAGGCACTCTTTTCATCCTAGTGATCAATCCGAAAAAATAAAATTCAATTTGCACTTTAGATATGGTGAAAATGAGCCTACATCCAATAATGAATCTCGACATTTGGTGAGTTTTAAGGCCCTTTAGGAATTCAAAATCAATTATTCATTTTTTAGCATTCTTAATTTAATGCCCTCCATAAAATTTGAGAAAGGAAAAAATTCCTTTTAAGGTCTAGATTTAAGTATCTTACCAAACAGACGGCCACATTAAGTGGGTAAAAAAAAAACACATTCTATGGTGCATTTTTTAATTTTGTTTTTTTTTTTTTGGTTTGGTTTTTATTTTTATTTTATTTTTTTGTGATTGCTCATAAAAAATGAAATGGTATGTACTTAAAAATTGGGGAAAGTTAAGATGCGACCTAAGTGCTTCTGGACTCCTCCTGGGGCTAGTCATTTTAAATTAAATTTTGACGGCAGTTCCTTAGGTAATCCTGACCTTGTTGGAATTGGGGATGTGTTGCGTAATGATCAGGGACAGGTTGTTTTTTCTTATGCTGGTCCGTAGGCTCTGCTATGGCCAATCATGCGGAATTTGCCTCATTGCGACAAGGTCTTAAGCTCTTTATCTCCAAAGGCATTGGCAATAGTTGTATTTGTGAAGGTGATTCGCTTAATGTTATTGGCTAGTGTAAGAAGGAATAGTGTATTCTCTGGAAGCTCGAGTCTATCTGGTTGGAGATTATAGACATTTCAGTCCCCTTAGCTTTCTCTTTCTCTCATATTTATAGGAAAGCTAATGCTTTAGCTGATTCTCTAACCAATGGTGGGGTTTCCCTGCCTGTTCTTTTGTTTTTCTTTGATGTAATATCTTTTTAGTAGTTTCTCATTAATAAAAATTGGAACCTTTGTCAAAAAAAAGAAAAGAAAGAAATGATATCAAATAAATGGCCCTAGCATGGTTTTTTAATATTGATCCATTGCATTACTTTAAGAAAATTGCATAAAATCCCTCCCCCTTAGGACTATTTCTATCTGGTACAATATGGAGACATACATAATACTAGATTTTTACAGACACACAGAAGCATGTCTAATGCGACCTATATGTTTTTTTTCTCAACATTTCTTCTTGAAATCTTACTATAAAAGTATTTCATGAAACTAAAGTATCACCTTCTAGGTATCACATCTAAAAAATTAGTGTACGTGATGTCTATATCTACACGAAATATTCATACAAATATTTATATCAATGTGACATAGAATTGGACTTGGTTGGAGTATACTTTTGCTTTTTCTAGCATTTGTTTATTTTTTAAGTTTGTTTTTTCTAGCATTATCTATTCTATAGTAAGCTTGGTTCATTTATGGACGTGAAAGAATGTTCAATGAAGCAATATTTGGAAATGCTTGGAGAAAAATCTAACAAAAATGCCAAAAGTCACTAGAACAGAAGTGCGAGGGGAAGATATAAAAGGAAATTGACTCTTTTTTTTTTTTTCTTGGATGTTAATTTGGAACCTGGAGAAAATGGAAATCTGGATGTCAATACTCACACAACCTCCAAATCGATGAGTTAGTCAAATCCAAATTTTACTATATAGGTACTTCCTCAAGAGTTATTTAAGACATACCCAAAATTGCCTTTGTATTAGTTTTTAACCCTGAATAAGTGAGGCTATTCTCGCAAAGGTGTGGTCAGAATATGGCATAGGCCTTAGGTTAGAAAGTAAAGCCACACAACATAAACTTGCAGGAAAATGAAGTCCTGAAGTGGGAGATCCCTATGGTGGTGTAAAAAATCAATTTTTGTTTTTGATGATGGATTTCCAACTATCCAAACAAAAAAAACTGGTGTAGACCTGGTGGATCAAGAAAATTTTGAATGGACGGTATAGATAATGTGTTATAAATTACACTATATTTAGGGCTTTAAATTGTTTTTATGTCCACATTTATAATTGTCAAGGTTGAGATGATCAAACTTGAGGATGTTGTAATGAATTACATTTGTGACTAGGTCTTGAGGTTTGGCTTGACATTTTATCAAAAGGTCGAGACCTAGATTTTTTGCTTTTGGCAGTGAGTTACTTGAGCCAAGTGGCCTAAATACTCCGGTTTATTTTTTAGTTTTGAACTCAAAACATGTTTTTATATTAAAACATCTCGTTCTATGATTGGAGTCCAAACAAGTAGTTATATTTTGATAGTTTGACCTAACTCAAGTTACCTAGCTAAAAGATATAATTACCGTAACTTGTCCTAGGTTCCATAATAAGAAAAACATACTCCTAATAGCAAAATATTATGGGTTTGGAACCTAAAATATGCAAGGGATATAAGTCTGTTGGCACAAAACTTTAGTGGCCAAATTATCAAGTGCCTTGACTTCTCCATAATTCCAAACCTGCATCAAGGGTAACTTATATATTTATCTAGATACCCCGGTGAAAAGATTTTATATAAGCACCTCGTTCATTTAAGGTCGTGGGTTGTATAAGTTGCAATCCTAAACTATCAAAGTTAAGATGCACCTCCAAATTTTGTCACAAGTTGTTTTTGGTATCTAAAATTCGTAAGATGTTTGGAGAATCTATTTTTATCTCTAATTATAAAATTTTAAACTTTAAAGATGACCCAAATCAAATAGATCTAAAAACGCATAGATTTTTTTGAAAATAGATGGTCCAGATAATGTGTTACAAGATGTATTATTTTTTAGACTTAAAATAAATCTTTTCCCCATATCCATACATCTCCATAATGAATTAGAGGGTTTTTCAATAGAAGAAGTATATAATGAGACTATTTACCTTTGGTACAACGTGGTCAAAATTAATGTTGATCATTGGGTGACTACATTTATTCTATTGACACACTGAAGCTACCAAATTTCACATCGAAAAATGTGACATTCTTGTACTAAAGGTAAATAGTCTCATTGTATACATTCACTTTTCAATATGAAAGCAACCTTTTCATATACTGTTTGAGATGCATCTTAATCCCACAATCTGTGCATCTTAATCCCACAATCTAAGTACCTTGATTGAACCCCTTTTGATTTTCAAAGGGGCTTGATTTTTCCAATAAAATAAGTGACTAGTCATTTGAATCCAAATAAGGTATCTTCGTTTTATGCCTACGGTATCTAAGATAACCTTCGCTCAGAAAAGTGCCTTAAATCAATGATTTAAAGATAAACTTAATTTAAAAATAAACTAAATAAAAGAGAGAGAGTAATGAAAATGATTCATGGCCCTTCATTTCTTCTTTCAAGAATGGGCATATCCATGGCTATGACATAATATAGCTCTAGGAGAGAGAGTGGGTCTATTCCACTTTATGAAAACACTTGGTGGGCTCCTCACTTTCTAGCCTCAACCAATTTTTACAATCATAGAAAACAAAAATAGAGAGAGAGAGAGAGACGCCTCATGCATGCATGTGCATGTCTTAGAAGAAAGAAAGAGAAGTAGAAGTAAGAGTATGTTAGAGAGAGAGAGAGAGAGAGAGAGAGAGAGAG